GAAAAAATATTCAAAAATTAGGGTTTTAACTTCAAAAAACTACATTTATTAGTATAGTTTCAGATTTTGCAAAACTCTTTTTTTTCAAAAACTGAAACAAATAAAACATTCAATCAAATTCCTACCTTGTACTTTTTGAAAATGTGTGTTTTTATTTGTTCACGATTTTCCTAGTCTTTGTTGAAATATTTTTTAATTTTTTTTTCAAAGTAATTTCACCTGGGGAGCTCTTTCCTTCTAGATCATCAGGCTCTCATGCTTGATATGATAAATGAAGAAATGAGATTGGGGAAAAGGTGAAGATTGTTTGAAATAATGCTTTATTTCTTGGTCTTCCACATTGGATGGTGATAATGTTTTCAGTACATTTTTTATATATAAAAGAAGGATTAAACTCTATATTTGTAAAAAGAATACGTATAATTCTACCATAAGAACTTACGATGGATATTTTTGATGCTAACAGATGTTAAGTTTTCCCCTTTTTTTCTTCTTTGTGCATTTAGAACATATCTTGAAATTTCATAAGTATAAAATCAAGAAATTTATGATCAAGAAGAAAACGAAAATAGTGAAATTAGATGGAAAAAGCCTAAAGCTAAGAGATTACATATCTTATCTCTTTTCTTTTATTCTTAAAAAATTTTTAATCGACTTATTAAGAATGAATTTATTGTATATTTTTATTATAAATTTTTATAAAAATATAAATTAAATTTTAGTTTTATTAATTATTTAATTAAAATATTGTCATATTAATATAAAAAATATAGTTTATTTTTATAATTTTTATATAAATTAATAATAAAAAATATAGTTTAATACATTTTTAACTTAACCATACAGATAAAAAAATTATTTTTTTTAATTTCCCAATAAAAAGGAAGAGAATACCACGTTGTAAGTGGGAATCCTACAAGTTATAAGGCAATTAATTTCTTCTCCTTCTACATGTTCAAAAAAAAAAAAAATTTCTTCTCCTACAAAGCAAATCTGGGTTGTCCCTTTCTCGCTTGCTCTTACAAGTCAATTTCGTGTTTTTTGTTGTAAGCGTCAACCTATATTGGAAATTGTATTTATCAAAAAAAAAAAATATTTACCAGTAGATATAAATTTATGTTCAAAAAAAAAAAAAATTTGTGAGACAGAA